TATGTACACAAAGCACCGCTAATTAGTTCGAGGCGCTACACATCGACATTACTATCATTTACACAGTGAACATGTGTGGGTAATTTCATATTAATAGATATGTATAGAAACATTCGTTCTATCACACACATCTTGGTATTACATATCATTTTTGTGTCGGTATACGTAATATTTTAGTAAATAAGTTTAAATAAAAACGAGGGTAAAGATAAAAATACTCATAACAAACTTTGAATAAATCGAAATCAAAAATAATGAACGATCGAGCAATACAATACTTATATAAATATAGTGCATTCTCATTGTATTTTTATGTTACTGAATGATATACAATATTTCGATGTTCTCATCTACGGCGCGCTTGGCGCAATGGTTATCGCCTCCAGTGGTCAAGTAAAGTGCCACCGGATCGATTCCAGCATTCACATGTTGTTTTAGTATTAATTAATCAAATATTTGAAATGTGAAATTAGAAACAATTAAATCTTTTCTTTTTTTCCTATCCTATTTTTCTAAATCTTATGTTAATTTTAATAGTAAATACTTTAGATTTATTTATACCTATAATATCCTTTATTTATATTTTAGTTCTAGTTATTTATTATTTAGAATAATTTAGAATGATTGGAAGAACTTTAAAGTTAACATGTGGTATATAATTAATTATTAGATATAAATATTGAATATAAAACCACATATTTGTATAATTAATAAATTAATTTTAATAAAAAATAGTATTGTTTTATTTACCGACTGATTTGCTTCTTTTATAGCCTGATATTTATATTATATGACAAAAAACAAAAAAATAAATAAATAAGAAAAACAACAAGGTAAAATAAAAAAAAACTTTTAGCTGGAATAGAACCCACATCATCATTGATCCTTGAAAGACGATAAAAGCGTGCTCATTAACCAATCGACCACGAGCACTACGATAATTACAGTGAAAATGTCGGGTCATATCAATGATTGTAAATAGTTTTAACCTTACCCATGCATTAAATTATAAAAATACGTATACCGACACAAGAATGAAAATACCAATGTGAATGTGGTGGACGAATATTTTTATACACAGTAATATGAAATTACCCACACATGTACATCGTGTAAATGACAGTAGTGTCGATGTGAGCGTTACGAACTAATTAGCGGTGCTTTGTGTACTTTCTAAGATTATTTAGACACCGCTGACTAACGGTGAAGGAAAACATCGTGAGGAAACCTGGACTTATAATTTCTAATTATTAGTTCGAAATCGCACAACCCGCAATGAGCGAGCGTGGTGATCAATGCTCCGTGTGAGAAGAGGCTTTGCTCAGCAGTGGGCATTTATAGGCTATTGATGATGATAATGTTCAATCCACTTTATTTTCATAAGATCTGGCTTTAGTAGGTAGGTCTGGTTTGATTTAGTCACTAAAGAATTTCCTCCAGACAGCTGAAGTTAATATTAAATTAGATAATTACTAATTACCAAAGTAGCCATGTGATAGCATCGCTGCCTTTATTACTACCAGTCTTTCTGTTGATATCCTTGAAGATAATCTAAGTATTACTGCCGAACTATTATTACTGAACAGTTGTGATGTACCTATTTATAATATACTAGCTGTTCCTCGCGACTTCGTTCGTCTAAAACAATGACTTCTGATAAATTTTGGATTTTATAATTAGTCTTCTCCAAGGTTAATTGCAGTGCTATGTAACAAATGTCATAAGAATCAATTTAGGTATATTTATTGTGAAATATGGTTCATTATCGTAATTTAAAAAAATAAACAATCTCACAGGGTTTTTAATATACATTCTTGTTCTTACTATTTCCTGAAACAGTGGACAAACGAGTTTTCAACTATAATGTAAATGTTTTGAAACCTGTGGAAAGAGGTCAAATAAAAATACACCTTAAAGTAATTAAATAACGCTTTATTATATAAAATCAGCTATTTACAAATATCATGTAACGTGTCAGAGTATTTTGATCGAAATACTTTATATTTACATTTCATTTTTCATTCTATTTACTGAGGTCATGCATTTATAAGAATAATAAAATATGACATCAATAAAATATGAAGAAAATGTATGAGAATATTAATCAAGGACCCTCTAAATATTCAATAAAATATCACATGTTAAAAATATATTACCGTATCTAATTAAAAACTAAATCATACGCTCCTTGCTAACTATTGATAAGAAATACATTAAATATAATTGTACTAACTTACCAAAGAAAGCAAAGTTTGCTTGGACCTACTCCTACACTACCGTCAAATAAGAACTAACACTGCTTACGACACTACGTACTTATTAGAGGTAGAAAATATTTAATAGGTCCTCGAATTATACATATTTAACACAATTATTGTAATTTATTGGATTCAGTTTTCAGACACAATAAAATTTATGCCTCGGAGTTCATGTATATCTGACGGCTTTTTAGACGGTCGCAGTCAGATTGTCTAACTAGGGGTTTTATGAACAATGGTCGGTCATCCCCGCTAATAACGCGCAAATGTTTGTGTCTACAGGCAAAACATTGTCACCCAAAAAGATTGTAAAAGAAGATTCTTTAACAAACCCTTGTCTATATTAACAAGCAAGAACATAATCCTATCCATTTATACTTACCAGCATGTTTTCTGCTAGTACTTACACAGGTCCATAAGACAATAGTACTTAGGCCTTAGTACGAGTTTCTTTTACGCTTAAAGTAAACTAAATGGGACCGCGTCTGACGCTCTGATTGGTTGGTTCATGGGCACCGGCCAATCAAACCTCCGAACGAGTACTCGTAAACGTAAAAAAAAATCGTACTAAGGCCTCTGCATATTTATCAAATAACATCTGTCCCGCTTTTTGGCAACAAAAACAAGATCAGTGGCGACACACAATACGGTTTGGGGTCCCTAACAAGAACCTAGTTATTATACAAAGAGGATTTATGTATGCGGCGAGCGAGATAACGCGCGGTGAGCCGCCATGATTGATTCATTGCATGTAGGCGCGGTTATGGAGTGTAATCATAATAAATTATCATATTCTGAAGCGACACGGAATATTCGACAATTGGAGAAATCATTTTATTGATTTATGAAAACGTGAGATAGATGATAATGTGCTTTATTTTATTTGGTTTAAGGCTTTGTAGACGATGGCGATATGCGATTGTTTATTCGTTTTGTTTACCTTATTATTTACATTTTTTCTATAGGCAATAGCTTACAATAACAAAATTTTATCTACATACTAACTACCAAAATTGCAACATCAGCTGCATTTAAAATCGGTTGCCAAAATCTCTAGGCTCCACTAAGGACGTGCTTAAAGTTCACAACTGGGTCGGCGGGCTCGTGATGACTCGCACTTGTGACAATGTGCCATTCTCGTGTAAAGATAAAGCAATAACATATTACCCTTTGAATTCGTGTTACAACGAACAGTGACTCGGCGTACGACCGAAAACCCTACGATTACACTAACTTTATGTCCAAAACCGTCAGATAAAATAATATGAACTCACAATTGGTAACTATAAAAGTCTTTATGGTAACTATCAAATCCTAACGAGTCGGGGTTTTAAAATAACAACCTAAATAAAGCTTCGATACGGCGCACTCATATGGAATGTTTTGTCATAACAGACAGGCAGACAGACACAGGAAATTAAATCTCTTAATAAACAGGATATCGGATTTTCGAACTTACGTTTGCATTAAGAAATATTGGCAAGGTAAGTAATATTGGGAATTAGTTTATTTACAATGTGCGCGTTGGACCAGTGACGTAAGTAATGAACACTTTCATTTTGCGCGTGTTATTGCTTCAGCCGAGGAGTTTCATGAATGTGTTCACGCCCTTACGGTCTTCTTGCTTCGTGGTGCTCCGCTGATGATCTTTAGAAGTCTTACGGCTGGAGCTTCGAATGCTAGTGATATGGCGAATGAAGCTAAGAATGCCATCACAGCGTATCCGGCGTAGATCGCGAGCTGTGAACAATGATTGTAAAAATTAATCACTACTTTTAAAAAACAATAACCTTAATTGAAAAATCGCGGGTTACTCACGTAAATATACTGGGAAAAGCTTTACTAGTTTCGAAACACAGAGGGGTTCTTCCTCATGAGCAGCGTGCGCGGCCGCCGCGACCGAAACTAGTAGATATTTTCTCAGTATATTCACGTGAGTTACCTTCGTTTGTCTCACGATAGTTATTATAAAACAATAACCTCTTCTTTGAGAAGTTACATTACATTATTCATACTGATAAATAGAAAACAGTGTTTAAAACAGTTTTATACAGTAAACAGTTCGTAGAGTCCCCAATTCTATCCGTCTAGTACCTATATCTATTAAATTAAAATCGATCCAGTAGTTTAGGCGTTCGAGCGTAATAAACAAATATTTTCATTAGTGAAAATTAAACTACTGATATATTGGCCAACACTATACAATGAATAGCTCTTAATAATGATTATTCCAAATTAACTTAATGAAGTATTGACGTCACTTTTAGAACTATATTGTTAATGGGGCCAGATCAGGCCAGGGCGTTAAATGTCGGGTCCCTTGCGCCTCGTAGTTCCGTCCAAAGCCACTCTATAAAGTGGTCGTTAATTTAAGGGAAAACAAACATTAATTATCTCTTAATTATTACTAAATAAGTAGTGGTAATTAAGTAGTGGTCGTTGTGGATAATTTTATTTGTTCGTCTGTAGATTATGGTGGTCTAACAATCATTTAAGTGCCGTAAAACTTTTAGGCATGTTCTATATTAATGTAAATTTTTGGTCTAATGTTTTTAGTGTGGGATAGCCATGCTTCGGCACGAATGGGCCGGCTCGACCGGAGTGATACCACGGCCTCACAGAAAACCGACGTGAAGCAACGCTCGCGTTGTGTTTCGTCGTATAAGTGAGGTTACCGGCGGCCCCTAATAACCCCTGTCCCCTTCTCCAATCTCCCCAATCCCTGAATCCCCAACGATTCTCAAACTAACGCACTTGTAACGCCTCTGGTGTTCCAGGTGTCCATGGGCGATTGGGCGACGCCGATTGCTTACCATCATATGATCCGTCTGCACGTTTACCGGCTTATGCCATAAAAAAATATCATTCATATCTTAAGATTTTACGTAAATACGTTCCAATTTGCTTTGAAAGCGTAAGTAAGACCATTTAAAACCAAAACAGTTTACATAATCATAAATTTAGTAAAAAGTATCTCAAAAGTTTCCGAATAATGCACACGTATGTACCTAAATACGATCAATCTCCAACATACGAACATCAAATCAGCTAATGCACAAACTTCTACCTAAACCAGCCAGCTATAGCTGGCTATAACCTAAACCAATAACCTAAACCAGCCAGCTATAGCTGGCTGGTTTAGGTAGAAGTTCAGTAGCGAACTTGTACTCACAGAACTATCCAGAAAACGTAAAGGTGCTCCCTCACCGGGAGCATTCGCGTGTAATGTAAGATTACAGATCTGATCGGATCTGAGTATTACATCAGTGAAGAATTACAATGCGCACCTTGTAATGATACAATGTGTAATATCTTGATACCACTTGTAACATCAATGTCTGACATCTTGCTCTGAAATGTTCAAATTCGAATCAATATGTTACATTACACGCAAATGCTCGTTAGTCAGGGAGGTATGATTGGAATGTAATACTCAAAGTTGAATCTATAATATTACATTACACGTGAATGCTCCCGGTAAGGGAGCACCTTATACAAGATGTAATCGGAATCGCTCCCGAAAAACATCGACAGGTCATGTAAAAAACAAGCTTAATTTTGATAAAATTAAGGAATTAAATGTGTTTTTATGTAATACCTAATAGATATAATCAACCGCTCAAGGCTGATGTTGCATGAATAACATGTAAACAAAAAAGATTCAAATTGGAAAAAAAAAATTGCCGGCGTTTTCGGGAGCGTTTTGTTTTCACCCTGTATTTGTGGAAAATATTCCAGCTGATCGTTCGTACAATCTACAACGTCATTTGGTATACAGGTATGAAAACAAAGAATAACTCAGTGCATACAGATATAATAAAAATCATTGTTTGGCTACTGAGCTGAATGGTTACAAAAAATATGCCATCATTGTGGCCACTGCTGACCAACGACCTCTTTTCGCACGGAGAAGGTTTGAGCATTAATCATCACGCTTGCTCAATGCGGGTCGGCGGTTGCAAACTTATAATTAGAAATTATAAGCCCAGGTTTCCTCACGATATTTTCCTTTACCGTAAGTCAGTGGTGTCTAATTAAGCTTAGAAAGTACATATAACTTGGAAAAAGTCACATTGATACTTGCCGTAGGTAGGTTTCGAGCCTGCATTCTCATGAACGAGAAGCGGGCGTCTTAAACCTTTGGGCCACCATGTCTAATTTAATATAATAGAAAACTTTTTGAAACATTTTGTGTAACGATAGCTACTGTCTCTGTACAGAGTCAATTTTTATGTTCGTACCTGGATACCGATTGTTGTACCGTAGGTACGTAGAACTTAAATTCAAGTTACGGTTTGGATGCAATTTCATAACTCTACTCATATTATATGAGTCCGCACGAATTTTATGTCCAATCTAGAAAGGAGGGTGGAGGAGGAAAGGCGTTCCCCCCATGTCCTCCATAAAATATACTAGTACTAACTTCAATCTGAAGTAATATTACACTGTCTTTTCCCTAATACTTTAATATACTAATTTAGTGTAGGCACCAATTTTTCGCTAGTAGCGTTAAGAGTTCATTTTGATAGAAAGAAAAAAGAAAAAGCATTTATTTGGCACATGGCACACAAACAAAGATTATGAAAAAAAAAAGAAAAATACAAAAAAAATACAAGTACATACTTACACAAATACATAATATCAAAAGGAAACATAAAAGCATAAAGAAAATAGTAAAAATCATCAAAATATAAGAAAATAATGTACATACAAACAAATTAAATACACAAAAAAAAACACCATAATATAAATAATATGATACTGCGTGTGCACATGTCAAAAGGGCCTCCACCTCAGCATATAGTTGAGCATTCCTGCCCAACGCTGATTTTCAGGTGGCACCCTGCAGTGACTCACGGACGGCGGTACCGCCCCTCAATAAGGAAAAGAAAATAGATTTAAATATGAGATTAAATAGATAATATAAATTCTGCAGACTATGTGTGCATATGTGTATGCGTGCGTATGTGTGTGAAAAGTTGTGATTAGAAAAATGTATAGATCAAATAGTAAAAGTAAATACAAACAAAAATGTAAGAATGCATTTATAAGAGACCAAGATATAAGACTTCAAGACTTATGTAAATACGAACAAAAATGTAAAGATGCACTTTCTATATTTACTCTTTTTTCAATTAACTGAGGGTATTACATACTTTCTGGCTGCCAAACAAGCACTATTCCAGTGACAACCCTGCTGAGCTCTGGTTCATTTCGACGCGTACCCACAAAGATACAGTTGCCTTCCACTGACCACCGGACACAAAACTCCGGCAGCAAAGTTTACTTGTGGCCACAGTTAAAAACTTAAAAACAACATTAAACTGTCAAACACCAAGCGGTCACCGGCGACCGCAACCCATTGCTCTATAATTGTGTCTATAATGACGGTACTCGACGAGTCAAACCAATGGCGAAGCACCAGCAGTACAACACGGCGAGCTCCCACATAAAACGCACAGACGTCCAAGTTAGCATATAATAGTAAGTATACTTTTATTGTATTGAAATAATGAATTGAAATTAGATAAAGGATTTGTCAATATTTATGTCGTTAAATTTAATTTGGGATGTCAAAATAAAAGTTTTTAATTTTAACCTAAACGTGTTTTTATTGTTCAGATCTCTAATTGGTGGTGGAATATTATTCCAACATTTGGAAGCCGCATAACGGAAGCTGCCGCGAAAAGCTGCAGTTCTATGCTGAGGAATGGCGAGCTGCTGAGCACAACGCCTACCCTCACGCTCCCGGTGACTGTTAACCCATGCAAACCTAGAGTACAGGTATGGAGGACACCTGAGTTTTATCACGTCGAACATAAGACAGGCGAGATGAAGTTTACGGCGCGACTTCATTTTTAAAACATTATGTTTGTTTAAAAATGGTGTAATATGACTTCTTGGTGGAACATTGTAGCAAAATCGCGCACAAGCATTCTGTACTCTCTGTATTAATCTCCCGGTGCGTGCTAAGAGCCTGGGGCCTATAACGGTATCTGCATAGTTTAATTTTGACAGAACCAAACTCTCCACCAACCGCACACGCAGTTCCTCGCATAAGTAGGGTCGTATTTTATATAAAATCTTCAAACGATAGAAGCAACTTCTTACACAGTCCGAAATAAAACGTTCAAACCTTAAACCTTCATCCAATACAAGGCCCAAGTTTCTTGCCTCACTTACTCGTTCTACATTTTGACCTTTTACATTAATGCTTACGGAAGTGCTCAGTGGAATCTTGTGTAATAAGCCTGGCGTGCCAAAGATCATAAATTTGGTTTTAACTGGATTTAGTATTAAAGCATTATTTTCCGACCATTCGAATATACCCTCCAGATCTTTGTTTATTTTTTTGATTGCAGACTCATAGTCTTGAGGTTTGAAAGACAAATATATTTGTAGGTCATCAGCGTAAATATGGTATTGACAGTGCTTAATTTCATTTATTATGTCCGCGGTATATGTGATAAATAATGTGGGGCCTAGAATTGAGCCCTGTGGCACGCCTTTCATTAGGGGAGTCGTTTGTGACTTATTAATATTACCCTTTTGGTCTCGTAATTCGACGTATTGGGCACGGTTGCTGAGGTAGCTGTTAAACCATCTCACAGTTGGAGTATCAAAGCCATAAAAAGCCAGCTTCGATAACAAGAGCGTTAAATTTATGGCATCGAAAGCCCTTGAGTAGTCTAATAATACCAAGATGGTACAGAAACCACTGTCCTGTGCAGCCAGTATGT